GATATCTAGATAAACTTAGAAAGTATATATAACTCGGAAAATGTGACCTTCGGGCCACCACGACATTAATAACTTGTTATTTGTTAATTAATTTAATACGTTTTGAAAAATCTATAGACATAAGTGGGGTTTGAACCCACAGCGCTGAACTTATTGTTTCGCTACTTGAATCGCTTGAATAGTGAAACAAGTGAAACAAGTGAAACAAGTGAATTTATTTCTGCAAATAGGCCACAAGGCAGCACTCTTACACGTCAATTTTATCAAGCTAACGATGAGGCCGATATTTCTTAACTGACTATTCTGAGAAGAAATGCCGAAACAAACTCAGAGGTCTGTCTCTTTTAAAGTCCAGACAAATGTATATAAAAGATTATGTGTGAGAACCGTGCAAGTTCTTTCTGTAGTGGCCTTTTGAGGAAAGAACCACAACAGTAGTGTTTCCTATGTTGTAGTTTGTGGTAGACTGCAAGCAAACCTACTATCGAACTTCTATTATAATCCTTCATAAAATTATTTTATACTAGCTGACCCGGGAAACTTCGTACCGCCTAAAATTATTTTCTTACCATTTAAACCCTCCCTGGCTCGGCTCAGCCGTTCTGGAGTATTACCAAGACAAACAAACGGTTTTTTTTATTTATATAGAACTAGCGACCTAATATGCATGTATCATCACTACATAGTATAAAACAAAGTCGCTATCCGCCGTCTGTCCCTATGTATGCTTAGATCTTTAAAACTACGCTACGGATTTTGATATGGTTTTTTTTAATAGATAGAGTGATTCTTAAGGAAGGTTTATATGTATAATACATGCATATTGCACCCGTGCGAAGCCAGGGCGGGTCGCTAGTTATAAATATAAAGCTTCCTTAACAATCACTCTATCTATTCAAAAAACCGCATCAAAATTCGTTGCGTAGTTTTAAAGATCTAAGCATACATAGGGACAGACAGACGGCGGATAGTGACTTTGTTTTATACTATGTAGTGATAGGCAGTATAAAGTAAATTACTTAAATAAAACAAAAACGCTACGATTCAATCGCTTTATTACTGTTAACGATGAAATCATAATTATTGACACCATTTTTTTAAACATTGCCATAAATTTATCTTTTATTTACATTAATTATAGATTATTACTTCCATTTAACATTTTATAATAATTAATTATTATAATAATAATAGTAGTTTTGTATTTACATTTTTATTTATTTGCGTGAGACGACTAGATTTGTTCCGAATCTATCTAACTTACGTCAGTTATATTTAAAAAAATACAAAAATTAATCGTAGGTAGAGCGAAGTCGTATTTTTCAAGGACTTCTAAATATTTTAAACATTTTTCATTATACATATAATATTATTATCATAATATTTGATTATATTCGTATTTAAAGTTGATTACAAACTTTCCAATCTATTTCAAGGAACTTTATTTTCAATAGAAATTATATACAAGGTGTTGTTTTAAAACCCCGTCATTTTGTAGGAAGAAACTCGGCTATCGATTCTGAGTCCGAATCAATAAAAAAAATTGTAGGTAAATATTTTTCATTATTCTGTAAATTACGGAAATCCGTAAATGCAAACTACACCGTCTTGTAACTAGCTTTATAACGCGGTTTAACACACACAAACTCAAACACGTTATTGATATTATTCCTAATTCCATAAAACTCCAATAAGAAACATTGCTGTCGCTTATTCTGAAATACTGTCGAACTTAAACGATTTATTATAGCCGTCATTTGAACTATTGGTCCGAAATTTTCTCTTACATTGAACCTTTATGACTTCTGTGACATGTCCCCGAGAAATGTCACGGTTTTAAAACTACACCTTGTATATTATATTATGATGGTACACATTGTACTTTACCAGACTGCATAAGTTCGAAAAAATTGTAGCCAACTTAAAATACAATTAAATCAATACTATTTATTGGAAACACAAAATGGGAATGACTTTTGCTAAGAAGAATGTTTGTCATTGAAGTTTAAACCAAGACACATTGTAATAAAGTGTACTTTAGACTTACTTAACATCACATTGAATTACAGTAGTAGGTTATCTAAGACTATAAACACAGGACTAGGAAAAGCTTGGCATTTAATGCAAACTTAATCGACTGTAAACAATATATTATTAATTACATTTATAATTAAATTTAAGTTTAAATTAATGTAATTATACAACAGTGATCAAACTAGGTATTTATTTATTTATATTTTATCAATAACTCTGCATTTATTGAAATTTAGGAAACTATGCAACTACAAAAAATAAATGTAAAAAAGTTGGTTAAAAAATAAAAATATTATTTTAGACCCACTCCATATTACACGGGACTCATAACATAAATAGTGAAAAGTGGGTGTTTCATTGTACAGTGGCATTAAGTGGCGTAATGTGCACCTTTGTGTACCCCTTCGGGGATAAAGGGTGCAATGTTATTTTAGGCCATAATATTTATATAGGTAGTATACGAACGCCTGTGTGGTCAAAACAAAATAAATTAAATGATTTAACCTTTCTTAGGAATTACTATCTACTGAAGAACAAAATTGTCCTGTAGTACAAAGGGTTCATATAGACAATGTATCGCGAAAAGAAACTTATTCTATAGCAGGTATGCAATATTAATGTGTTTCTATTGACAAAATAAATTAATTTCAGTCCTACAAAAGACTAAAACGGCTATAACAGAAAATAAAAACATTAGATTATAAAAAAAAATGTAACCAAGTGACAAATTAACTAAAAATCGTGGGTTAATTACGTGAATATACTGACAAAAGCTGGGTTCTTCCTCATGAGCAGCGTGCGCGGTTGCGGCGATGTCGCGCAGTCTACCAGTAGACCACCGCGCAACGAACCCCTTTGTGGTTCGAAACTAGCAGAGCTTTTCTCAGTATTTACGTGAGTAACCTAGGATTTTTAGTTAATGAAGTATGTCTCACGATAGTTATTATAATAATTAAGTGCCATTGCAGAACCTTTCCAATGCAGAGTTATCGACTTTGCAACATGTATAGCATATTTTATTATGCTTACAAACAAATAAACACACAATTATTTGTATTCATAATTCATCGCGACTCATTAATTTTTTACATCAAATTACAATCATCTAAATTTAAATAGGGTAGTATACTAAATTTTATTTTAATGTCCGTCTGGTAGATTATTTTGAAACAATGAATACGTACTTTTTCTTTTCTTAAAAAAAAAAAATTCTTTCGACGATATATTGATTTCAAATATCATTTGATGTCACGATTTACTGCATTTTATAGGGAAGCGTGACGTAACGACCTCCCACTCCTAAACTAAACTTCGTTTTATCTAAGTATTGTTTTCTTATACGACAAAATAAAAAAACATGTGTCTAATATTTTTTCATTATCTAACTGACGGACTAATTATATTTTTAATTTTCATACACTGTCTACTACCCTATTGCATACATTCACAATAAAGTTTTATTTAAAAAAAAATAGACAAGAAAGCGATCTAAATACTTTCTAAAGGAATCAGTCTTGAAATAAATTTGTTTATTCCTTGGTTTTTTCTAAAATTTGATAATTTACTAAAATAATATTTAAATTAAATAAACTTAGGTCTAATTTCAAATAAATGTATCTGTATACTTATATTATATTAAAAAATACAATTGAATTGAATGTTTACCTAATGTCTTTGTCCATTATATTGTTTCAGTTCTCTATACTTTATAGCCGGTAGGTTTAACATTCAAAAAGCAGATGTACTACTGATAGACGAATAAATACTACATAATTATAATCTAAAATTATATGTATAAATCTTAAAATATGAATTTCTAAAAATAATCAAATTTAACAAACGATGCCAAGTATGTAACAACGTACCGAATCATATTAATTATAATAAATACACAAGAACATAATTAATATTTACAAACATACTTTAAATTAATGACGTAACCGATTCTATGTTCCCTTTCCCAGTATTTTACATGTATAAATAATTATATTTAGTTCTTCGAAAAGCAAAAACGTGTTTAACTTTATAAATTGCGTGAAAGTAACGAGGTCAGAATGGAAGCAAATATTTTTCCATTAATTTGTGCGCGGCATTGAAATATATACTATGTGCATAGCACCTATGATTAAAAATAGTTTGACAAAAGTCTATTTCAGTTTGAGGAGTACTTGGCGTGTTTTGTGCAGTTTTAAAATGATAAATTACATTTTACAAAATATGTGAATGTGTATTATATACGTGAAGCTGATGTTAACTTATTGAGAGCAATGAAACATAGTGTGCGGGGAAATTGCACAACTTGATTCCCCCTAGTCCTTTCCATCATCGCACTACAAGACCCACGCGCGAAGCGTCACCGATTCATGGTAGATGTCCCACCCACACGCACGAAGTGCTTCGCATTAAGCTTCCTTGTGCGGACTGATAAGAGTGGAATTCTTTGCCACAGTATATATTTCCTGAAGAGTAAGACCTGGGTGTGTTGGTCCGAATGAGTAGGTTACTTAAGGGACGACGTGCTCCATAGAAGACCACATCATCGCTTACCGCCAGGCGAGATAGTGGTCAAACGTCGGCTCTCAAATATGTAAATATAAAAAAATAGTATTGGTATGTTTTTATACTTACTATCGTGGGACATTACCGCATATCGCTGCGACCGCGCACGTTACTGATGAGGAAGAATTTCTCTGTGACTCGAAACTAGTACCTAGAGCTGTTGTTAGTATATTCACGATTGTATGATGAGTAACTAGTGATTATGATGAGTAACCCCAATTTATTTATCTTATGGTTATAATAAAATGTTTTAGAAATAGGCTGCACAATGAAATACCACCAAGTACACCCCTATCTTCTATTTTTAACAGGATATGAAGCTTATCTTCCATTCGTAGACAATATTTAAACTCTCTTCAAATTGGACATTGGATTTAATACTAACGATTTAAAACTAACGACCACTGATGCATTCTAAAACTAAAAGCGTAATACTTAAAGCTCTTCAATGAGTTTATACAAATTGAGATCGGATGTTCCTATTGACTGAGAGCGCTCCGATACCAGGATCAGAAGTCGGACGAACGCGCTCCCAGGGTGCCGGCTACCTCGTCGATTTCCAATACCCACACATGAGGACCTTCTTAAAAGCCTGCCTGAATATTTTGTTAAATATTGTATAGAATATTGGATTCACCATCGAACTGGCGTAGCCTAACCACAAGGCGAAGTCATACACCCATGGCGAGATCCTCTCCTCGCAGTGAGAGCAAACAGCCGGCACCATATTCAGAATGAAAAATGGAGCCCACAAAATTACAAACGTGAAAAATACCACCCCTAAAACTTTAGTTGCTTTTTGCTCTAACCGTAAGATCCTGCCGTGACGGGAGGAATTTCTGGATATAACACTTGAATTTCTAGAATGATGCGTTCTAGGCGTTTGGCGTTGTGGACTAGCAGTCACTTGCTGTGACCTGGCTATAGTTCTTTGGGCGCGTATACTTCGGATTGGAGTCGAAAGTGTAGTCCTGGCTCCTCCAAAACTCGAGCCTCTGCGAAATCGCTTCGCTTCGTCCCAAGTCACCATAGACGCAGCGCCACGACTAGACCTTCTAAAAAATGGCGTCGACTGTTCTTCTTTCATATTCCCATTTCTAGGATACCCGTTACATCCATTAATGTCCCCACCGGGAACTATAATAACTTCCGTAGTTCGTCTGGGTGGAGTAGATTCTGACCCAAAATATGGACAAGTGCATGGAGGTGGCAAAAGTAAACCGTCTTCGGAACTACGCGATTTAGCGGTCAAAGCTGCGGGAGCTAACAGACCTTCATTACTTTCATCGTCAGACGCACTTCTTGGCCTATGAAGTGGGGTGTTTGGCTCTCCTGTAGACGAAGGTCTACGTCGGTCTTGGAGCATCGACGACGGTGAACTGGATGAGACGCTCAGAGACCCTGGAGTGAGCATCCCACCTCGTTCAGATATGTTCGTCCTGTAAAATAAAATTGTGTTAGAATATGTTCAATATTGGGTGGAAGTTTTTGGTCCTTCGATCAGCCAATGATGAGCGGGTTAATTTTGAAGCGAACAAATAATGCCAATTGTTATATACCCTCTGTATTGTGGCTTTGTCGCCGCAGAAGCTTCCAAGCCGCGAGATAGACGCAACATCTCTGCCCCAAACTGATGCAGTGCTGTCATTGCTGACGGGGCAGGCTCGCTGTGCAACACAACACATAATGTATGAGGACTACACATTGACATACACATGGGTACATGATGGACATGTCACACGTATTATGCTTTATTAGGTCATGTTAAATGAAAGCAAGCTTTGGTAGCACAGTTTAACTCCATACAGTAGCCCAATTCGACAGATTATTTGATTTATTCAGCGTCAATAAAACAAATATTTTGAAATACATTTAATAGAACACCATTATCAGTACACACGAATTGGGTCACTGTCGTCGTCGCATAAACTATGGACAACTGTATGGAGTGCTTACAATAACACAATGCCGATAATTGGATGAACACATTCCAGACATTCAATAACATGGACATAATTATATATGTAGCGTTGATTACACATTTGCTGTCATATGTCGTATGTAGGTGTGTGTATGGAGGGTTATATGGAACAAGAGGGTGGAACATGCCTGTTGCAATGATGATAATTACATTACGGTTTTCGCATGCATTCATTCTGAACAGGTAACCCTCGAAACGTGTACTTCACATTTTGGATCATATTTAAATTAAGTTTTATATTACTTTATTTCCGTATTTGACAATATTTTTATTCTAGAAGCTCTTTTTTCGACACTTCCGTAAAGATTTCCAGTGAAAAGTACAAAAAGACCAAATCACAAAATTATTCATTCAAAACAACAAAGTTGTGTACCGACTTAAAACATCAATGTGATTTGATTTCGCTGTCAAATGAATACCACTAAAGCTTCAGTGAATTTTGTACTTTATGCTAATGGTATAGAATTTACAATTCAAATGATCAGATTCTTTGATTTAACGGGATTGACGATGGATTTGAATGACTGATGGCGCCTTCTGAGGATTATTTTATGCTAAAAGAATTTGTTTTTAAGTCAGAAAAACCTTTTAAATTTAATACATTTTTGGTTTCAGTCAAAACAGGATAACTTTTAATACAAACAGAATCGATATAAAAAATCAAACGTCATATTATATTGAATCATAACTCACTATGCGTAATAGACATATTTACAAAAGCAATAACTACATGCAAGATAAAAACATTTTCTTTACTTAGGTTTTAAGTCATTTTCGTCACTACCATTATAGGATTTCTAAACTAGATTAGGCTGTTTTTGCAATTGAAACAATGCTATTTTATGTAAACCAATCAGGTAAAATAATATGTTATACATCTAAGCAACTTCCATTATTGCTAATTAGGAGAATACTGTTTAAGTATAGGTTTATCAAAGTGCACTGCTACTCAACACCCCAATAAGAGAAGGTGGAGTGACAAATCTACTCTTTCAATTTCCACACGACATTCTACTATAATCATACCTATATAAATAAAATATTCCAAACCTCAATATGTACTTTAAAGCTATCCCAAAGTCTGGTACACCCTGAAAAGGGTCACTAACAACAAACAGAGAACCACATCAAAATAAACTTGAAGGAGAGTGTTAAAAAAGATTTTTCATACAAATATAAGTACTTTGTGAATTCATAACATTTTTTTCGAGCGAGATAAGAGAGAAATTTATTTGTTTTTTTTTTCATTCTGTTTTTCATAAATAAGTTACTGGCCATGTCGATGTGACAGGCAACAGTGGATCACTTGTTGATTTATGTCAATTTATTTTTATTTTTCGCTGTCGTTCTCCCAATTTGATTAGAGTGGGTAGTTCAGTACTTCGTTTTAGCTTGATTGTCAGATTAATAAATGACTGTATTTTATTCATATTTCGCACTTAATTTATTGTTTATTTTTTCGTTCATTCGCTTCCTATTTATAAAACCGTTTTTTATTTTGTCAATAAATATTATGGGCATGGCTCGCTCAAATGGCAGAGACTATGGTGAAAAGTATAAAGTGATTTTTTATTTACATGAACATTTTGTTATTGTTTACTTGTCGAATATTTACTTATAATTATTGATATTATTACACTTCTGTAATAATGTTCTGGCAAGTATGTTCTAAAGCCACGTGCTGAACCGTGTAACTTCTCCGTCTAAGAAAAGACCTTTGCATCATTGGAACATTCTACAGGGTGGTACCGAGAACGCTGAAAAAAAAACGAACATCACTTAGAATTTACTGAAGCACCAGTGAGTGGTGTATTTATGTGTGCGTGTACTTCCAACACCGTAATATATGAAGTGTAATGACGGACCACGTCACGTGACAGATGTCCTTCGTGTCAATGTGTGAGTATTCTGCGTATAAGTCTGTAGTAGCCAGGTGCCACAGGCGTTGTTTCAAGAGACTATGTGCGCCTTTTTTCAACGCGCTTAGGTGGTACAAATCAATTGTTATAATAATAATTATCAATCATCCAGAATTTATACATAGGCTCATCTATCACAATACGTATTCATCGAGATGCGACGTCATGGGTATATCGGATATTATCTATTCACGGATAATTGCCGCTCGATTACCTCACAAAGGAGGTTATATTACCTATGTATATACAAATATAAGCTAAGTATAGAATATGAGCATGGGATGATTGATACATGATTATGTACATAAGATGCTAGTTCAATGTTATGGTGATCTATAGAAATAAATATGTAAAAGTTGTCGAATTAGATTTTATTTGATGAATCAAAATTGTAATTATTGATTGTATTTTTTTAAGGGTGGAAAATCATCGAATGATGTGTGAGGCGGAAAGGAGTGTCAGACTCTTACTGACTAAAAACCACCCCGTTCCATCTTCTGCACTTCGAGCCGGAGCCCCGGTAACCTCAAACTCAAACTCAAACTCAAAAGCATTTATTTCAATTAAACCATAATTTGGTACTTTTGAAACGTCAACAAATATAAAATAAATAATAGTCTGTCAGTTTGTCCGTCAGTGAAGCTAGGCGCTCGTTCCAAAATGTCGATTCGAGTAGAGAAGAACGAGCAAGAAACTCCACTCGTTACTCTTTTAAAAAAAAAGTCTGTTTTATACTGCTCTTAACCCGTTAAGTTCTCCGCGACTCCGAATCGGCATCAGCCGGGCCCCATCCGTGGTGGTCTGATGGCTCATTGAGGGGCGCGCGGAATTCGACGGACCATACGCTCGGGTTATTGACTGTTTTCCTCCTTTTCTAAAGAAAACCTAAACCAGTATTTTCTCCTGTGTCGTGGGTGCGTTTAGAAACGAACAATTTCACATACACATCACACTCAGACCTAGACCGACAATCTGTTTATCACACAAAGAATTGTTTCTTACAGGAATCGAATCCGTAACACGTTGCTCGGCAGCCAGTTATCTAATCACCGCGTTGCATGAACGAAAATCAGCAAATAATACAATAGGTATATTTAAGACAATATACAAGGTGTAGATAGTTTTGAAACCGTGGCATTTCTCGGGAGCATGTCACAGAAGTCATAAAGGTTCAATGTAAGAGAAAGTTTCGGGCCAATGGTTAAAAATACGCCTATAATAAATCGTTTAAGTTCGACAGTATGTCAGAATAAGCGACAGCAATGTTTCTTATTGGAGTTTTATGGAATTAGGAATAATATCAATTACGTGTTTGAGTTTGTTTGTGTTAAGCCTCGTTATAAAGCTAGTTACAAGACGGCGGCATGTAGTTCGCACTTATGGATTTCCGTAATTTCAGAAATTTAAAAAATATTTACCTACAATTTTTTTTATTGATTCAGACTTAGAATCGATAGCCGAGTTACCTCCTAGAAAATGACGCGGCTTTTAAAACAACGCCTTGTATATAGGTATATACACTTAGGTAAGTGTAAACGAAACCGTATACTAATTTTAATTAAAAAAGTAATACTCAGTTTGAAGTCAAATAAAACAACGTTCAAATGAAAACTAAAACTCGGACTTCAGTTTACAAAATAGATAAAAAACATCGAAAGATGAAACTAATTTATACTTCAAGAAGCAACTTCTGGACAAAACAAAATAGAATTAAGAGCGAGGAACGCTCGCTTAGGAATAATATCTGTATTTTCTCTTATAAAGTAATATTTTTCAACGCAACAAAAATGAGTTTTGATGCAGATTTTATTAAAACACTGGCTTCTTTCAGCAGCTTCGCCCGCGTTTTCTTGGGAAAAAAAGTAGTCTATGTGATATTCCAGACAATAAATCTACCCATGTTTTAAATTTCATCCCGATTTCGTCAGCCGTTTTGACGTAAAAGAGTAACAAACAAACAAACACACACACACATCCATCCTCACAAACTTTCACATTTGTAATATTAGTAAGAAGGATTAAATTGTATTTAGAATCACACTTTTAATTTACCTAAGAAGTAGGTATTTCATAACCCTAATTTTCATTAGCCGTATCTTAAATTGTAATTGGGGAACACGCTCGCACACCTACTATAACAATTTTATATCCAATTAGCTTTTACCTGCGGCTTCGCTCGCGTCACAAAAGGATAAAAAGTAGCCTATGTGATATATACCAATACACACAGCGTCATCTATTCCAATACTTTTGTTTTCTATTTACTATTTAAAAAGCAGCTGACAAAGTTATTATTAGACAAGTGTAACTACTCGCTTAAAGATTTTTTTGATGATGAAAGTTTCTGTTAATCTAAATTTCTGATGTTCTATTATAAGTATTATTGTATAATTTTTGTTGTACCTAATTATGAATGATTTGATTGTTATTAATTAATTTTGTTTTGTTTACATTTAAAAATTGTATTTCATAATTTTATTTACCTAATTCAATAATTTTGCATGCCGTAAGGCAAAATGTACTGGCCGGATTCTCCATAAGTTATAAAACAACATATTTGTTATCTACATTTTTGGCAAATAAATTATTTCTAATTTATAATTTCCCTCGGGAATATCAAATTTTTCCAGGATAAAAAGTACCTATTATTTAATCCAGACTTCTAACTTTACGTCTGCTAAAATTCAAAGCAATCGGTTTAGTAGTTACGGCGTGAAAGCGGAACAAACAAACAAAGTCTCTTTCCAATTTATAATATTAGTAAGGA